TATAACTGATACGTATTGACTTATCCTTGTCATGACTTTTTCTTTTTGTTGGATTCTCCCCCTTTGTGTTTAATTTCTCGTCGCACCCGATGGATTCATTGTGCTGGGCTTCCTGGGGTTGTGGTCTTCATTGTCTTTTCCTAAGATATTGTCTAAAATTTTTGGGAGTGCTGGTTTGGTATTCACGAAGTTCCTAAGGTGCTCTTTGTCATGAAAGTATCTTATTTCTTTATCAACTTTAAAGATAGTTTTGTAGGGTTCGTCAATCTGGGTTGGAGTTTGTTTTCCTTTAGGACTTGGAATATGTCACTCCAAGCTCTTCTTGCCTTGAGCGTTTGCGATGAGAAGTCTGCTGTGATTCTGATGGGCTTTCCTTTTCATGTGATTTGTTTCTTTTCCCTAACTGCTTGTAGAATTTTGTTCTTCTGTTGGGTTTCTGGAATCTTAACTATTATATGCCTATGTGTAAGTGTGTTTTGATCAAGGCTAGCTGGAGTCCTATGTGCCTCATTTATCTGTATGTCAAGTTCTTTTCCCCTTCTTGGGAAGTTTTGTGCCATCACTTTTATGAACAGTTTTTTTTTATGTTGTCTGCACTCTCTCCTGTTTCTTCATTGACTCCAATCAATCTTATGCTATTCTTCTTTGCATCGTCTAGCAGCTGCTGGGTTGATTTCTCATGGTCCCTTACTATTTTAAAGACATTTTTCTTTTCCTAGTCACTAATTGTAATCTTATCTTCTACATCCAAAATTCTGTCCTCACATTGGCTCATTCTGCTGCATAAACTTTCAGTGGAGATTTTAATCTGAAAATCTGTTTACATCTGTTTTATGGATTCCATTTGTTTCCTAATTTGGGGTTCCATCATGTTCCTCAGCTCCTCTATTATTTTATCTGTGTCTGCTCTATATTTATTAATCATGTCTTGCACTATGGGCACAATCTGTGTTGTTATCTGAGAAATTATTTCTGATTTCATTTTTTCCAGATCCTCTTTTTTTGACAGTTCAGGGAGTCTAGGTGATTGAGTATCAGAGTGTTCCATCTCGTTTCCCTTTGGACTTGCTTTAGGTGACCTGGAAGTCTTGTTTATGTGTCTTTTCATTTCACAGGATGGGGTGTGCTGATGGCTCCCATGCAGCTCACCTCCTCAGTGCTGCAGCCGGCTCTGCTCCTCAGCAATGGGGGCAGTGGTTTGGCAGCCTGGAAAGCTCACCTCAAAAATTTTTAATTCTTCAAAAACTGATCTCTCCAGCACTAAAATGTAGGAAGCTAGTAACCACATGATTAAAATGTTTGAAGAGGGTGGGGAATTTAGCTCAGTGGTGCTGCCTGCCTCACACTTGCAGGGACCAGAGTTCAATCCCTGGTAGAAAAAAAAAAAGAAAATGTTTGAAGAGATTAAGAAAGAGGCAAATTAACAGATCTGTGGCATGTTTAGGGAGCTTAAAGAAGATATACATAAACAGGATTTAATTGATAAAAGTGATCAACTCAAACAAGAAACAAGCAAAAAGCTGATTTAATTAAATAATACAAGATGTGAATCTCCATTTTCGTAAAACATAGAGCTCATGAAAAGAAATCAAGCACAAATCTAGGATACAAAAAATTGTATAGGAAGTGTGGATAAAAACTCAGCCTCCAGGTAAATGAGGAATATAGAACCCAAAGAGCTATAATCAGAAAAGAATTCCTCCACAGCATATCATAGTTAAAAATCTCAGAAATTCAGCACAAAAGGACAATACTAAAAGCTGTTAGAGAAAAACAGGACCCAACAAAGGCATGTCTATCAGAGGAGCAACAGCTTTTTCAACGCAAGGCTTAAAGTTTAGGAGGGCTTGGAGCAAAGTTTTTGAAGCCCTGAAAGGAAACAACTGTCAACACAGATTAATATATCCTGCAAAGTTGTCTGTCAAAAATGATGGAGAAAAAAAGATTTTTCATAACAAAGACACCTTAAGAATTCCTGACCACCAAACCAACATTGCAGAAAGTACTCAAAGGAATCCAAAGGAGAGAGAGAGGGAGGTCACCAGCTCCAGAGAAAGAAAAACATGCATCTAACAGGGTGAGTAGTTAAAATTAAGGATAAGCATCAGAAAATGCAATGGCAGGATTCAGTAAATATCTTACAATAATAATGTCCATGGTCTTAGCTCCCCCATCAAAAGACACACACTAAGGCCAGGGATTTAGGTCAGTGTCGCTGCCGCCTGCCTTGCAAGCACAAGGTCCCGAGTTCAATCCCCATAACCAAAAAAAAAAGACACACTCGCCTTTTGTAAAAAGCAAAATCCCATTACATATGACTGCAAGAGGCACACTTTATCCAGAAACAGAAACAGACTAAAAGTAGAACGGGGGAAAGCAGTGTTCCTTGTAGAGAGTTACAAATGATGGCATCAAGACTGACAGCAAAATACAGCCTCGAGGACCTGGAATCAAGACAGCTGGAAAACAACAACTTAGTGAAGAGAAAAAAAAAATAGAACTCTGAGAATCAAGAAAGACTGGAAAATGAGACACTCCAGAGACAGTGAAGACAGTACAGAGAGAAGAAGAAAGCTGACTGGGACACTAACCCTGGCTCCTAGGGAGGGGGACCAATCTGTCTCCACAAGCACAAGGGCAAGGGCAACTCAGCTGCATCTCCAGCCCCTTTTTTGTTTTATATTTTGAGATAGGGTCTCATTAAATCACTGAGTTATCCAGGTTGGGCTTGATCTTGTAAACTGCCATCTTCCTGCCCCAGCCTCCAGTGTCCTGGGATTACAGGCATGAGCCACCACAATTTATTTTAGTGCAGTTTAAAATATCATTTCATATATATGCACGTATGTATGTGTGTATGTATGTATATACACATTTATTTACTAAGGGATGTTTGAAGTGTAAGTTTCACATTTTCAGGGCTTTTAATACATACCTAATAAATGTGATCTGTGTAATCACAGGTTCTTGAAATTGATTAATAAACAGTCTAGAATAAGCTAGTATTCCAGTGATTAGATCCTGTGTTTGATTATGGCAGTTCACGGTGATATTCTGATACTCTATATTCTTTCTCATTTTTATGTTTTTGATTTTGTGTGTGGGTGTGTGCTTGATCTTTTAAATTGTGAAGATGATGTGTTAAATTCCTTTCTATGATGTTGAATTTTTCCTTGTGGTAGTGTTAAGTTTTATTTTCTGGTTTTTTTTTTTTTTTTTGTACCGGGGATCGAACTCTGGTCCTTGTGCTTGCAAGGCAGGTGACAGAACCACTGGGCTAAATCCCTGGCCCATACTTTCTGGTTTTTTGAAAGTTAATTATCAGATGCACTCAAGTTTAGAATTCTTAAATTTTCTTTTTGAAATCAATTTTATAAATATGTAATAGCTATAGTGGCAATTTCTTCCTTAAAGTATTATATTGGCTATTAATAGAATCCCATCAGTTTTCCATTTAGTTAATATTTTGTATATTCTCATCTTTTTTAAAAACTATATTTCAATTAATATGCCTTTCATTATAAATGTCTCTCAATTCAGAGATATTACTATGTAAGAAAATGACTTGACAGAAATAATAAGATGTCATCAATTGCAACGTAATTCTTTATTTTAGATATGTTAATATGTTTAAAAATGTACACTGGGAATTTATGAAATATAATGCTTTCAGTCTTCCTGCGTTCTTATATTTTAAGTATTTTTTTAAATGGTACTACTTGAAATTTTAAAAATCTGCTCTAATGTGCTTTGCTTTTTAACTGAGGTGCAGGATATTTATTGATATATTTATGCTGATAGCTACTCCATTTTTTGCCTTGTTTATCATGTTGTTGGATTGATTTCTTCCCCTTACCCATTGTATTCCTCTACTCATTTAGAAGTTATACGTTCTGCTTCTTTTACTGTTGCATCATTATTTTTAATATGCAAATCTAAAATTTAACAGTGTCTAAAGTTCATGTCTCTGCCATTCATCCAAATAAATGAGGGTGTTTCACTGTTGAGCTCTAATATCTTTCTTGGCATTTGCTCTTGCTATGCAGAATTTAGGTCTGTCGTTGATTTATATAAAATTTATACAAAATAGGCATTACTGTTACTATTTAAAACCCTAAATCAGACTGTTAGCATACTTTCCACTGTGATTATTAGCTCCTCTGTCGTTTTTTCCACCTTAATCTATGCTCCTCTGCCATATTGATGTCATAGAAAATTTCTCTGTTTTACCTCTGCCTTTTCTTTTCCTCCCAATAGGAAATGCTCAGGAATAACTGTTTTTTCTGAACTTATTTCCTCCATGCCAAAGCTGAGCTAACCTTGAACACCCTGTTATACCCACTACCATTAGCTGGTAGTGCTCTGTTTCTGTCTTAGTCAGAAATTGGACAGATAATAATCCACCTATGTCAGTAAAAAGAATCCAGTAAGCAAGCAGTTTCATTTTTTTCTCTTTTTTTTTTCCTCTTTTGAGTTTTCTCTCAGTTTTTATTCTAATTTTTTTAGATCTGTAAGTCTTGCCTGAACACAGCATCTCTAGGCATAGTTTCGTGAGATGGAGTCAGCAGCCCATGCTAGCTTGTCATTTTTTTTGTTTCAGTAAACAAATGTCTTTTACTGCTAAATATTTTGGAGTTTGCTCATCAGTGGCTTACAAACACTGTATTGGAGTGTTAATTTAAGAATCAAATTGGCACTTTATTGACTTTGTTTCTTTTTTCACCTTTGACCTTCCCAGTTCTGATAGCATTAGTAGTGATGAGGAGGAACTCAGGACTTTAGGAAGCAGTGGCAGTGAAAGCAGCACCCCAGAGAATGTGGGGCCCCCCTTCATCATGGACGACAATAGCTGGTTCAACAAGTGTAAGAGAGTGAGACAGAAGTATCAGCTTACCCTGGAGCAGAAGGTATTTATCAGTTGTCAGAAGTTCTTTGTATTTACTGTGTTTCATTGTCACTGACAGAAGTGTGTGTGTGTCCTGTGTACGTGTGTGTGTTACTGGAGACTAAACCCAGGACTTTCACACTGGGCTATATCCCCAGCCCTTTTCTGTTTTTTCCTTTTGAGACAGGATCTCACTAATTTATTAAGTTTCCCAGGCTAGGCTTGAACTTGTGATCTTCCTGCCTCATCTCCCAGAGTGCTGGGATTACAGGCATGTGCCAGCACACCTGACACAAGATCTTTTAACTGAATAAAATTATCTACCCACTTCCCAACTGTTTCTGACTTGTTTTCTTAATTAAAAATCAGGCAGAATTTAGGGTAGGTTTTTGTTTGTTAAACTGTTTCTAATTTTATGTTTAATATAAAATAAACCAGTTTATTCTTTTTGTAATCTGTTTAATTTATATATTTGAGATTGTAGTTCCTATGATTAATTTTGTGAAAATTTGGTTTGTGAAAATTCAGTAATTTCCTAAGCACACCTTGTCTGTTTTTGTTTTGCACGTAGGGGAAGGAGGCAGTTGTGGGCTTTACTGGGGATTAAATCTGGGGTCTTCACACTAAGCTACATCCATAGCCCTTTTTATGTTTTGAAACAGAGTCTTGCAAAGTTGCTAAATTGCTCAGGCTGGGCTTGAACTTGTGATCCTCCTTCCTCAGTCTCCCAGACTGCTGGGGTTACAGGAATGCTGGGGTTTCTTTTCAATAAGCTGATTTAATAATTTTTGTCTGCTGAGTACTGTACTAGTCAAAGTGAAGTATATAAAAAAAATTTTTCCATTTTCTTGAGATTGTAAGCTTTATGTTTTTATTATATTATCTATTTTTACTTCTTAAAATTCACCATTTTTCATAGATGATATATGCAAGGAAAGCCCAGTGGAATTAGCAGTATAAATATCAGAAGAAAAAAATACTTAGAAAAATAGTTATAAAATAAATTTACAAATATGAATAGATTCCCTAACATATATAGCTTACTGCTTATAAAATATTTTTAAATCTTGAATATAATATCTAGAAAAATTTGCATTATTTATATAGAAAAACTTTCATACCCAATTAAAAGAGACTTTTAGTACCAGCATATAGTCATAGTAAGATAATCTGAAAAGTTCCTGATGCAAAAATCTGAAAACAGTGAATAGAATACAGTTTTTCTAAAAAGTTTCATGCTACACTCTCTCTATAAGAAAATCTTACTAGGAACCAGGAACATAGAAAGGCCTGAAAACAAGAGGAATAAGTGCCTGAATAAGTAAGTCCATGCCCCAGGAATAGAGGTAAGGGCATAACCTTTAGGTATTTAGCTTTTTTTAAACATCAACAAGGAAACAGCAGGTATAGACCTACTACCATTCAAGATGAAAACTAGACTAAAAGGCAAGGTTGAGATTCAGTATAGCAGAATGAACACAGAAATTGGTAAATGAACCTTGAAAATGAAAAAAATAGCAAAATGAAACTAAATAGCAAAAATAATGACCAACATAGGATGTCAGTGGTGTGCTGCAGTGTTTTTAACACCTGGCTCTTGCAAAGGTGATACGGAGAGAGGAGCATTGATTTGTACCATTTGTTGGTTTCTCTGGGGTGAAAACTCCTATTATGGCAACTTAAACCTTACCAATATGACATTACTGAATGTAGAGGTGGGAAGAGATGCACAGGAAGATACTGTAATTTACTGTAAGGTGGAATAAATGTGGATGACTGCAGAAACATAGTAGTAAAATAATTAGGAAGCCAGAAGTGTTGAGTATAGTTAGTACCTTTGTCTTTCTGACATTCAGTTCACTGTAAATTTATATTACTTTATTTTTAATACTAGTGTTTAACTTACAAAATTTCTGAAAATTCATCAATCAGATCTCGAGAGCTCATAAAAGCTAATTGCAGGCTCTCCTACTTGAGAGTATGAAAGTGAAGCAAAGATAAAACACTTAACAACATCAGGAAGAGTATGAAGATTATTGCAGCTAATGCCATTAGAAATTTGATTATACTGAAGAAACATAAAGACATTTTGTAATGCCCATGTCTATTTCCAAGTTAACATTTAGGCATTATAATTTGAAGAATGAATTAGAATGTTTAATTTTGAAACTAGAAATGGGAGTGAAAAGAAATAAAGAAAGCTTGATACACAAGAATAGGGATCAGATAAGAAAATCAGGCATGGCAAAAAGAAAACAAAACCTAAAGTTGTGGAAATAGATCTAAATATAACCAAAAAAACCCCCACAGGAGTCAACAGCATCATAAAAATAAATGGCATAAACTTTCCAGTTAAGACAAACTCGTAGGTGTGAACTAGAGCTGCATGGCTACAGGCAGATCCAACAAGGGCCCCATCCCGAACACAGCCCCTTGGGTACACAGGCCTAACCAAAGTCCTACCTAGAAAGAGCTGCACAGGCACACAAGAAACAGCCAGAGGCACTCACCAAATACCATCTGTAAGTGCATGGAGACTCTAGCCAGAAGCCCACTCAGAAACCAGGGACTGGGGTGCACTGCCCCCAGCCAAAGTCCCTCCCAGACAACAGCTACACAGGAGGTAAGGCCCTAGCCAGAGGCACACCTAGTTACCATCCCAAGTGTGCACAGGCCATAGCCAGAAGCCCTCCCAGACAACAGGTCAGCTCAGGGATCCAGAAGGCAAGATTTTGAACCCAGGAATTGGTGCACTGTTGAGCAACAGAGAAAAGGCCCCTTGTTGGCTTGCTGAGAATTGAAGACCACTGGATGAACAAAAAGTTGCCTCAACAAAGGTGCAGCAGGCTCCATCTGTTGAAATGAGAAGAAAAGTAAACAACTCTCAAAGTAAGATTTCCAGACCACCTAAAGCAACCCTAAAGGGAAAGGAGATGGAACATTCTGATACTCAACCACCTGGACTCCCTGAACTGTCAAAAAAAGAGGATCTGGAAAAAATGAAATCGGAAATAATTTCTCAGATAAAAACAGAGATTGTGCCCATAGTGCAGGACATGATTAATAAACCTAGAGCAGACACAGATAAAAAAAAATAGAGGAGCTGAGGAACATGATGGAATCCCAAATTAGGAAACAAAGGGAATCCATAAAAGAGATGCAAACAGATTTTCAGGAGATTAAAAACTCCACTGAGAGAGAAGCTGAGCTGGTCCCAGCACCTGGAAGGGAGCTCCCCCGGTGCCATCCCAGGCTCCTAGGGCAGAGAAGCTGAGCCGGTCCCAGCACCCAGAAGGAAGGTCCCCCGCTGCCATCCCAGGCTCCTAGGGCAGAGAA